CCTTTAATAGCATTACCAAACCCTGATGAAGTTTTCATTAAAAAATTAAATAGTATTTTATACGAGTTTGTGTGGAATAGTAAAACAGATCGTGTCAAAAGAGATGTATTAACAAAATGTCCAAACGAGGGGGAGCTAAAGATGATCAATGTTAAACACTTTATCACCGCACTGAAGTCAACATAGATAAGAAGACTATACAGAGAAACCAATAATTGGGTAAATATGTTTAATAATGCTTTTAATACCGACTACCTAGCAAATTGTGGAATACAAAACATCAAGGCTAACTCTAATAATACAACAAATTTATTTTGGAAGGATGTTTTAAAAGCCTGGTTTGCTACTGTTTTGGTGAGCAAACAATATGAAAATATTATATTGGAAAATCCTTTATGGTATAATGAACAAAATTGGCGGGCAAACAGTGCTCTATAAAACCTGGTACTCTAAAGGAATAACACATGTACATAATATGATTAGACATGATGGATCTATTTATTCACATGAAGAGTTTAATACCAGATATGATATCAGGACAAATTTTTTAACTTATCAGGGAATGGTTGCAGCTATTCGCAAATATGTTGATCGACAGGGACTAAATATACATGAGAGATTATTTTTACCTTTTGTACCTATAAATTTAAAATTAATTTTAAAAAGTACAAGAGGAGCACAGGATGTATATCGAGTACTCATTAAAAACAATACTCAACCAGCTGCACAGGTAAAATGGCATCTCTCATTAGGAATAGTTGTGGAAGATTGGAGATTAGTTTACAAATGTCTTTTTGAGACCACTAAAAACTCAAAGCTTTTATGGTTACAATATAGGATAAACCATAGAATTTTGACTACTAATTCATATACACAAAAAGTTGGTTTAACTGAAAATGGAGATTGTACTTTTTGTAAAACAGAAAGAGAAACTATAATACATCTTCTGTGGGAATGTGATAAGACCCAGGAATTACTCCAAAATTTTCAAATATATTTAAATACACAAAATATTGATTTAGTTTTCGAAAAAAATATGTTTCTGTTTGGCAAATATAGAGATAATCAAAAGGCCCATATAGCAGATAATTATTTGCTACTTATAATAAAACAATATATTTACAATTCTAGATGCTTAAAGAAAGATTTACAATTGAATACTTTGAAAACTCACNACTTCGATATAGCTTGTCAGTTTGAGCTTTTTCAGATTTACATCGTCGATACGTCAGTCGATAACGTGAAACTGTTGTAAAATTGGGACAGTTTTCTCGTTTAAACCGAGTTATTTTCTAATATTCTAATAATGACAAACACTCACACAAAAACAACAAACTGATAAACAGCATACCTAGCAACAGCCGATCTTGCTAAGGTAGCAGAGTACAGTAGAAATGGCTTGATCCTTAAAATAAAGGGCATGTCTCAGATAAACATGGATGGCCGATTCATCCTGCACAATACACCTACATATATATATATTTTTTTAGAAGATTTTTTTTTTTTTTTTTTCAAAACGAGGTTTACCCAGATTTGGGACTTGTGAAAACCATATGGTTACCACATAAAAAAACCCACCAAAATAGGCAGAAAAACATGATTTTAACCCAAAATTTGACCCACGCAAGTAGTATATTTTCTTAAAATCCGTCTTAAATTAAATATCACCCACAGTCATACTAGATGGCACTAGATTATCTCTAAATTCCACTATTTCAGACTTAAATAAATATGCCAGAATTTCAGGACTGAATTTAAATTTTTCAAAAATCCAAGTGATTTGGATTGGCAACCAAAAATATAGTGAAACAATATA